CAACAGTGACAACGGAGACAACAGTGACAACAGTGACAGAAGTGACAACGGTAACAACGGTGAGAACGGTGACAACAGTGAAAATAGTGACAAGGGTGACAACGGTGAAAACAGTGACACTGGTGACAACAGTGGAAACAGTGACAAGAGTGAAAACGGTGACAACGGTGACAATAGTGACAACGGTAACAACAGTGACAACGGTGACAACTGTCACAACAGTGACAAGAGTGACAACGATGACAACAGTGACAACAGTGACAACGGTGACAACAGTCACAACAGTCACAACATTCACAACACTAACAACACTGACAAGAGTGATAACATTGAGAAGGGTGACAACAGTGATAACAGTGAAAAAAAGTGAAAAAAACTGACAACGGTGACAACAATGACAACAGTGAAGAGAGTGACAAGAGTGACAATGGTGACAAGGGTGACAACAGTGACAACAGTGACAACGGTGACAACAGTGAGAACAGTGACAACGGTGACAACGGTGACAACGGTGACAAAAGTGACAACTGTGACAACAGTGACAACTGTGACAACGGTGACAACACTGACAACAGTGACAACGATGACCCCAGTGAAAAGAGTGACAACTGTGACAACAGTGAAAACAGTGACAACGGTGACAACAGTGTCAACACTGACAACTGTCACAACAGTAACAACAGTGACAACAGTGATGACAGTGACAACGGTAACAACAGCAAAAACAGTGACTACGGTGACAACAGTAAAAACGGTGACAACAGTGACAACAGTGACAACAGTGACAATGGTGACAATAGTGACAACGGTGACAACAGTGACAACAGTGAAAGCAGTGACAACAGTGACATCACTGAGAAGGGTGACAACGGTGATAACAGTGAAAATAGTGACACTGGTGACAACAGTGACAACAGTGACAAGAGTGACAACGGTCACAACGGTGACACTAGTGACAAGAGCGAAAACGGTGACAACGGTGACAACAGTGAGAACAGTGAGAACAGTAACAACTGTCACAACAGTGACAACAGAGACAATGGTGACAACAGTGACAACGGTGACAACAGTGAAAACAGTGACAACGGTGACAACAGTGAAAACGGTGACAACAGTGACAATAGTGAGAACGGTGACAAAAGTGACAACGGTAACAACAGTGACAACAGCGACAACAGTGACAACGGTGACAAATGTGACAACGGTGACAAGATTGACAACGGTGACAACAGTGACAACGGTGACAACAGAAACAACAGTGACAACGGTTATAACAGTAAAAACGGTGACAACAGTAACAACGGTAACAACGGTGACAACAGTGACAAAAGCGACAACAGTGAAAACGGTGACAACAGCGACAACAGTGACAACGGTGACAACAGTGAAGTGACAACAGTGAGAAAAGAGGAAAACGGTGACAACGGTGACGAAAGTGACAACAGTGACAACAGTGACAACGATAACAACAGTAACAACGGTGACAACAGTGAAAACAGTCACAACGGTGAAATCAGTGACAACGGTGAAAAGAGTGACAACGGTGACAACGGAGACAACAGTAACAACGGTGACAACAGTGACAACGGTGACAACAGTAAGAACAGTGACAACGGTGACAACAGCGACAACAGCGACAACGGTGACAAATATGACAATGGTGACAACGGTGACAAGAGTGACAACGGTGACAACAGTGAAAACGGTGACAACAGCAACAACAATGACAACGGTTACAACGGTGACAACAGTGACAACAGTCATACCATTGAGAAGGGTGACAACGGTGACAACGGTGAAAAAAGTGACAACAGTGACAACGGTGACAACAGTGACAACTGTGACAATGGTGACAAGCGTGACAACGGTCACAACGGTAACAATAGTGACAACGGTAACAACAGTGACAACAGCGAAAACGGTGCCAACGGTGACAACAGTGAAAACGGTGACAACGGTGACAACAATGAAAACAGCAACAACAAAGGCAACAGTGAAAACAGTGACAACAGTGACAACGGTGACAACAGCGACAAAAGTGACAACGGTGACAACGGTGACGAGTGACAACGGTGTCAACAGTGACAACAGTGACAACGGTAACAATGACAACAGTGACAACGGTGACAACAGTAACAACAGTGAAAACAGTGACAACGGTAAAAACAGTGACAACGGTGACAACAGTGAGAACAGTGACAACTGTCACAACAGTGACAACAGTGACAACAGTGACAACGGCTAAAAAATTGACAACAGTGACCACAGCGACAACAGTGACAACAGTGACAACAGTGACAATAGGGAGTTTAAGATACGGCGACTACGGACTACGACTACGGATAAACATGCTATTGCGCATGATCAAAACCACGTGACTGTTCATTTTTCCCGCGTAGTCCTGCGGCTACGGTGAGTTGTTGAGCTGTTTTGCGTAGTCGCGACTACGGAGAACATTTTGCTCGTATTTTGCCGTCCGGTAACTCAAGAATCTCATTTTTTCGTAAAAAAGTTTTCAATTCACCTGCTTTAAGTGAGAGGGAAGCGAAATATGTAAGTTGTGTCTAATTTCTGCTCAGATTTACGCTTTTAATCGACTGTTGTGATTCAAATCTTTCTAGCTAAGCTCATATTAAGCTCAGATGTTTATAAGCAGAATTCAGATTGACGGCGTAGGAGAAGAGAAATCATGCAGGTAATTTACTTACTCTTCGCACTTGAAAAGTTTCAATGTTTGGTCGAATTGATCATTGTGTCTTTCTACGTGTGTAACCTTTGTTTATGCGAGTTTTTGAATCGCGCCATTTGCTGAATGAAAATGATGTAAACATCTTCGAGACAATCGAAACTCGGCATTTCAATACTTCAAACTACATCAGATCAGTAGTCGGAGAAGTCCATCATCTAAATCTAATAAATGAGCTATTACTATTTCTGTCTATTTCTTTAATATTTGACATAGAAGTATTCATGGGCGAAAAAATAAAACCTGTGTAACCAAAACTTTGTTTACCAATTTCACCCGACGTAATTGCTTCCTTCAAGTATGGAAGAATTTGTTCATTGTTCTAAAGATAAGGTCACATGCAAAACTGACTTGCGTTTTTGTGAACTGTGATGAAAAGAAGAAAATCTTTGCGTCTTGTTTCCCTCTCCGCCTCTTCTCTCGTAGTCTACTGTCTGTAGTGCAATCTTAACGTTCTATATTTGCACGACTCAACCCAGTGCTACGAACAAAGGACAACGCTCGTCCAGCCGTAGTTCGTAGTCCGTAGTCTCCGTATCTTAAACTCCCTAATGGTGACAACAGTGAAGACAGTGACAACAGTGAAAACAGTGACACCAGTGAGAAGGGTGACAACGGTGACAACAGTGAAAACGGTGACAACAGTGAAAACAGGGACATTGCTGACAACAGTGACAACAGTGACAAGGGTGACAACGGTGACAACAGTGACAACAGCAAAAAAGGTGACAACGGTGACAACAGTGACAACACTGACCACTGTCACAACAGTGACACCAGAGACAATGGTGAGAACAGGGACAACGGTGGCAACAGTGCCAACAGTGACAACGGTGACAACAGTGACAACGGTGACAACGGTGAAAACAGTGACAAAAGTGACAACAGTGACAACAGCAACAAGAGTGACACCGGTGACAACAGTGACAACAGTGACAACAGTGACAACGGTGACAACAATGAAAACGGTGACAACAGTGACAACGGTGACAACAGTGACAACACTGACAACTGTCACAACAGGGACAACAGAGACAATGGTGACAACAGTGGCAACGGTGACAACAGTGAAAACAGTGACAACGGTGACAACAGTGAAAATGGTGACAACAGTGACAACGGTGACAACGGTGACAATGGTGACAATGGTGACAACGGTGGCAACGGTGACAACGGTGGCAACGGTGACAACGGTGACAACAGCAACAACAGTGACAACGGTGACAAATGTGACAACGGTTACAACAGTCAAAACGGTGACAACAGCAACAACAGTGACAACGGTGACAAATGTGACAACGGTTACAACAGTCAAAACGGTGACAACAGTGACAACGGTGACAACAGTGACAACAGTGACAACGGTAAAAACTGGGACAACGGTGACAAGAGTGACAATGGTAACAACAGTGACAACGGTGACAACAGCAACAACAGTGACAACGGTTATAACGGTGAAAACAGTGAAAACGGTGACAACAGTGATACCATTGAGAAGGGTGACAACTGTAACAACGGTAACAAAAGTGACAACAGTGACAAGAGTGACAATGGTGACAAGGGTGACAACAGTGACAACAGTGACAAAAGTAACAACGGTGACAACGGTGACAACAGTGACAACTGTCACAACAGTGACAACCGTGAGATCAGTGACAACAGTGACAAAAGTGACAACAGTGACAACAGTAAGAACAGTGACAATGGCGACAAAAGTGAAAACGGTGACAACGGTGACAACAGTGACAACGGTGAACACAGTGACAACGGCGACAACAGTGACAACACTGACAACAGCAACAACAGTGACAACAATTACAACGGTCACAACAGTAACAACGGTGACAACAGTGACACCAGCAACAACAATGACAACGGTGACAAATGTGACAACGGTGACAACAGTGACAACAGTAACAACGGTGACAACAGTCAAAACAGTGACAACGGTGACAACAGTGACAACGATAACAACGGTGACAACGGTGACAACAGTAAAAACAGTGCCAACGGTAAAACCAGTGACAACAGTGACAACAGTGACAACGCTAACAACGGTGACAACAGTAACAACTGTGACAACGGTGACAATGGTGACACCAGTGACAACAGTGAAAACGGCGTCAACAGCGACAACAGCGACAACAGTGACAAGAGTGACAATAGTGACAACAGTGACAGCGGTGACAACAATGACAACAGTGGCAACGGTGACAACAGCAAAAACATTGGCAACGGTTAGAACGGTGACAAAAGTGACAACAGTGACAACAGTGATAACATTGACAAGGGTGACAACGGTGACAACGGCGACAAAAGTAACAACAGTGACAACGGCGACAACAGTGACAAGAGGTACAAAAGTGACAATGGTGACAAGGGTGACAACAGTGACAACAATGACAAGAGTGACAACGGTGACAACAGTGACAACGGTGACAACAGTGACAAGTGTCACAAGAGGGACAACAGTGACAACAGTGACAACAGTGATAACATTAAGAATGGTGACAACGGTGACACAGTGACAAAAGTGAAAAAAAGTGACAACGGTGACAACAGTGACAACAGTTACAAGAGTGACAAGAGTGACAATGGTGACAAGGGTGACAACAGTGACAACAGTGACAACAGTGAAAACGGTGACAACAGTCATAACAGTGACAACAGTGACAACGGTGACACCAGTGACAACTGTCACAACAGTGAAAGCAGTGGCAACAGTGAAAAGAGTGACAACAGTGACAATGGTGATAACAGTGAAAACGGTAACAACAGTGACAACGGTGACAACAGTGACAATGGTGATAACGGTGACAACAGTGACAACGGTAACAACAGTGACAACAGTGACAACAGTGACAGCGGTGATTAATGTGACAACGGTGACAACGGTGAAGGAGGGACAACAGTGACAACAGTGACAACAGTGACAACAGAAACAACAGTGACAACGGTTACAACAGTGAAAACGGTGACAACAGTAACAACGGTGGCAACAGTGACAACGGTGACAAATGGGACAGCGGTGAACACACTGACAACAGTGACAAAAGCAACAACAGTGACAACGGTTATAACGGTAACACCAGTAACAACGGTGACAACAGTGACAAAGGTGACAACAGCAACAACAGTGACAACGGTTATAACAATAACAACAGTGAAAACTGTGACAACAGTGATACCAGTGAGAAGGGTGACAACGGTAACAATGGTGACAAAAGGGACAACAGTGACAAGAGTGACAACAGTGACAATGGTGACACGCGTGACAACAGTGACAACGGTGACAAGAGTCACAACGGCGACAATGGTGACAACACTGACAACAGTGACAACTGTCACAACAGTGACAACGGTGAGATTGGTGACAATAGTGACAACAGTGAAAACGGTGACAACAGTGACAACGCTGACATTAGTGACAACAGCGACAACAGTGACAACAATGACAACGGTGACAACAGGAACAACAGTGACAACGGTTACAACGGTCACAACAGTGACAACGGTGAAAACAGTGACTACAGCAACAACAGTGACAACAGTGACAAATGTGACAACGGTGACAACAGTGACCACAGTAACAACGCTGACAAAAGTGACAACGATAACAACAGTGACAACGGTGACAACAGTGAAAAAAGTGTCAACGGTTAAACCAGTGACAACGGTGACAACAGTGACAACGCTGCCAACGGTGACAACCCTCACAACGGTGACAACAGTAACAAAGGTGACAACGGGGACATCAGTAACAACAGTAAAAACGGTGTCAACAGCGACAACAGTTACAAGAGTTACAACGGTGAATACAGTGACAACGGTGACAACAGCAAAAACATTGGCAACGGTTACAACGGTGACAACAGTCACAACGGTGACAACAGTGATAACATTGACAAGGGTGACAACGGTGACAAAGGCGACAAAAGTAACAACAGTGAAAACGGCGACAACAGTGACAACAGTGACAAGAGGTACAAAAGTGACAATGGTGACAAGGGTGACAACAGTGACAACATTGACAACAGTGACAACGGTGACAACAGTGACAACGGTGATAACAGTGACAACAGTGACAACGGCGACAAAAGTGACACCGGTAACAACAGTGACAACAGTGACAAGAGGTACAAAAGTGACAATGGTGACAAGGGTGACAACAATGACAACAGTGACAACTGTCACAAGAGTGACAACAGTGACAAGAGTGATAACATTGAGAATGGTGACAACGGTGACACAGTGACAAAAGTGAAAAAAAGTGAAAACGGTGACAACAGTGACAACAGTTACAAGAGTGACAAGAGTGACAATGGTGACAAGGGTGGGAACAGTGAAAACGGTGACAACAGGGACAACTGTCACAACAGTGAAAACAGTGACAACAGTGAAAAGAGTGACGACAGTGTAAAAGGTGATAACAGTGAAAACGGTAACAACAGTGACAACGTTGACAACAGTGACAATGGTGATAACGGTGACAACAGTGACAACGGTAACAACAGTGACAACAGCGACAACAGTGACAACGGTGACCAATGTGACAACGGTGACAAGAGTGACAACGGTGACAACAATGACAACGGTGACAACAGAAACAACAGTGACAACGGTTACAACAGTGTTAACGGTGACAACAGTAACAACGGTGACAACGGTGGCAACAGTGACAACGGTGACAACAGTGACAACGGTGACAACAGCAACAACAGTGACAACGGTTATAACGGTAACAACAGTGACTACGGTGACAACAGTAACAAAGGTGACAACAGAACAACAGTGACAACGGTTATAACGGTGACAACAGTGAAAACTGTGACAACAGTGATACCAGTGAGAAGGGTGACAACGGTAACAATGGTGACAAAAGTGACAACAGTGACAACAGTGACAACAGTGACAATGGTGACAACCGTGACAACAGTGACAACGGTGACAAGAGTGACAACGCTGACAATGGTGACAACAGTGACAACAGTGACAACTGTCACAACAGTGACAACGGTGAGATTGGTGACAACAGTGACAATGTGAAAACAGTAAGAACAGTGAGAACGTCGACAAAAGTGAAAACGGTAACAACAGTGAAAACAGTGAAAACAGTGACAACAGTAACAACAGTGACAACGCTGACATTAGTAACAACAGCGACAACAGTGACAACAGTGACAACGGTGACAACAGCAACAACAGTGACAACGGTTACAACGGTCACAACAGTGACAACGGTGACAACAGTGACAAAAGCAACAACAGTGACAACAGTGAAAAAGGTGACAACGGTGACAACAGTGACCACAGTAACAACGCTGACAAAAGTGACAACGATAACAACAGTGACAACGCTGACAACAGTGAAAACAGTGACAACGATAAAACCAGTGACAACGGTGACAACAGTGACAACGCTGCCAACGGTGACAACCCTGACAACTGTGACAACAGTAACAAAGGTGACACCGGTGACATCAGTTACAACGAGGACAACAGTAACAACAGTAAAAACGGTGTCAACAAGGACAACAGCGACAACAGTTACAAGAGTGACAACAGTGACAACAGTGACAACGGTGAAATCAGCAACAACAGTGCCAACAGTTACAACGGTGACAACGTTGACAACACTGACAACAGTGACAAGAGGTACAACAGTAAAAATGGTGACAACGGTGACAATAGTGACAACGGTGAAAACAGTAAGAACAGTGACAACGGTGCCTACAGTGACAACGGCGACAACAGTGACAACTGTCACAACAGTGACAACAGTGATAACAGTGATAACATTGAGAATGGTGACAACAGTGACACAGTGACAAAGTGAAAAAAAGTGACAACGGTGACAACAGTGACAACAGTTACAAGAGTGACAAGAGTGACAATGGTGAAAACAGTGACAACGGTGACAACGGTGACAACGGTGACAAAAGCAACAACAGTGACACCGGTGACCACAGTGACAACGGTGACAACAGTGCCAATGTGGACAACAGGGACAACAGTGACAACGGTGACAAATGTGACAATGGTGACAATGGTGACCACAGTGACGACAGTGACAACAGTGAAAACTGTGACGACAGTGACACCAGGAAGAAGGGTGACAACGGTGACAACGGGGAAAACGGTGACAACAGTGAAAATGGTGACAACAGTGACAACGGTGACAACAGTGACAATGGTGACAACGGTGACAACGGTGACAACAGTGACAACAGCAACAACAGTGACAACGGTGACAAATGTGACAACGGTGACAAAAGTGACAACAGCAACAACAGTAAAAAAAGTGACAAATGTGACAACGGTGACAACAGTGACCGCAGTAACAACGCTGACAAAAGTGACAACGATAACAACAGTGATAACGGTGACAACAGTGAAAACAGTGACAACGGTAAAACCAGTGACAACGGTGAAAACAGTGACAACGCTGCCAACGGTGACAACCCTGACAACGGTGACAACAGTAACAAAGGTGACAACAGTGACATCAGTGACAACAGTAACAACAGTAAAAACGGTGTCAACAACGACAACAGCGACAACAGTTACAAGAGTGACAACGGTGACAACAGTGACAACGGTGACAACAGCAACAACAGTGACAACGGTTATAACGGTAACAACAGTGACTACGGTGACAACAGTAACAAAGGTGACAACAGAACAACAGTGACAACGGTTATAACGGTGACAACAGTGAAAACTGTGACAACAGTGATACCAGTGAGAAGGGTGACAACGGTAACAATGGTGACAAAAGTGACAACAGTGACAACAGTGACAACAGTGACAATGGTGACAACCGTGACAACAGTGACAACGGTGACAAGAGTGACAACGCTGACAATGGTGACAACAGTGACAACAGTGACAACTGTCACAACAGTGACAACGGTGAGATTGGTGACAACAGTGACAATGTGAAAACAGTAAGAACAGTGAGAACGTCGACAAAAGTGAAAACGGTAACAACAGTGAAAACAGTGAAAACAGTGACAACAGTAACAACAGTGACAACGCTGACATTAGTAACAACAGCGACAACAGTGACAACAGTGACAACGGTGACAACAGCAACAACAGTGACAACGGTTACAACGGTCACAACAGTGACAACGGTGACAACAGTGACAAAAGCAACAACAGTGACAACAGTGAAAAAGGTGACAACGGTGACAACAGTGACCACAGTAACAACGCTGACAAAAGTGACAACGATAACAACAGTGACAACGCTGACAACAGTGAAAACAGTGACAACGATAAAACCAGTGACAACGGTGACAACAGTGACAACGCTGCCAACGGTGACAACCCTGACAACTGTGACAACAGTAACAAAGGTGACACCGGTGACATCAGTTACAACGAGGACAACAGTAACAACAGTAAAAACGGTGTCAACAAGGACAACAGCGACAACAGTTACAAGAGTGACAACAGTGACAACAGTGACAACGGTGAAATCAGCAACAACAGTGCCAACAGTTACAACGGTGACAACGTTGACAACACTGACAACAGTGACAAGAGGTACAACAGTAAAAATGGTGACAACGGTGACAATAGTGACAACGGTGAAAACAGTAAGAACAGTGACAACGGTGCCTACAGTGACAACGGCGACAACAGTGACAACTGTCACAACAGTGACAACAGTGATAACAGTGATAACATTGAGAATGGTGACAACAGTGACACAGTGACAAAGTGAAAAAAAGTGACAACGGTGACAACAGTGACAACAGTTACAAGAGTGACAAGAGTGACAATGGTGAAAACAGTGACAACGGTGACAACGGTGACAACGGTGACAAAAGCAACAACAGTGACACCGGTGACCACAGTGACAACGGTGACAACAGTGCCAATGTGGACAACAGAGACAACAGTGACAACGGTGACAAATGTGACAATGGTGACAATGGTGACCACAGTGACGACAGTGACAACAGTGAAAACTGTGACGACAGTGACACCAGGAAGAAGGGTGACAACGGTGACAACGGGGAAAACGGTGACAACAGTGAAAATGGTGACAACAGTGACAACGGTGACAACAGTGACAATGGTGACAACGGTGACAACGGTGACAACAGTGACAACAGCAACAACAGTGACAACGGTGACAAATGTGACAACGGTGACAAAAGTGACAACAGCAACAACAGTAAAAAAAGTGACAAATGTGACAACGGTGACAACAGTGACCGCAGTAACAACGCTGACAAAAGTGACAACGATAACAACAGTGATAACGGTGACAACAGTGAAAACAGTGACAACGGTAAAACCAGTGACAACGGTGAAAACAGTGACAACGCTGCCAACGGTGACAACCCTGACAACGGTGACAACAGTAACAAAGGTGACAACAGTGACATCAGTGACAACAGTAACAACAGTAAAAACGGTGTCAACAACGACAACAGCGACAACAGTTACAAGAGTGACAACGGTGACAACAGTGACAACAGTGACAACGGTGAAAACAGCAACAACAGCGACAACAGTTACAAGAGTGACAACAGTGACAACAGTGACAACGGTGACAACAGCAACAACAGTGGCAACAGTTACAACGGTGACAACAGTGACAACAGTGACAACAGTGAAAACATTGAGAAGGGTGACAACGGTGAATACGACGACAAAAGTAACACCAGTGACAACGTTGACAACAGTGACAACAGTGACAAGAGGTACAACAGTGACAATGGTGACAAGCGTGACAATAGTGACAACGATGAAAACAGTAAGAACAGTGACAACGGTGCCAACAGTGACAACGGCGAGAACTGTGACAACTGTCACAACAGTGACAACAGTGACAACAGTGATAACATTGAGAATGGTGACAACGGTGACACATTGACAAAGTGAAAAAAAGTGACAACGGTGACAACAGTGACAATAGTTACAAGAGTGACAAGAGTGACAATGGTGAAAACAGTGACAACGGTGACAACGGTGACAACGGTGACAAAAGCAACAACAGTGACACCGGTGACAACAGTGACAACGGTGACAACAGTGCCAACGTGGACAACAGTGACAACAGCGACAACAGTGACAACGGTGACAAATGTGACAATGGTGACAATGGTGACCACAGTGACAACAGTGACAACAGTGAAAACAGTGACGACAGTGACACCAGGGAGAAGGGTGACAACGGTGACAACGGGGAAAACGGTGACAACAGTGACAATGGTGACAACAGTGACAATGGTGACAACGGTGACAACAGTCACAACAGCAACAACAGTGACAACGGTGACAACAGTCACAACAGCAACAACAGTGACAACGGTGACAAATGTGACAAGGGTGACAACAGTGACAACGATGACAACGGTGACAACGGTGACACCAGAAACAACAGTGACAACGGTTACAACAGTCAAAACGGTGACAACAGTAACAACAGTGACAACAGTGAGAACGGTGACAACAGTGACAACAGTGACAACGGTGACAACAGCGACAACAGTGACACCGGTTATAACGGTGACAACAGTGAAAACGGTGACAACAGTGATACCATTGAGAAGGGTGACAACGGTAACAACGGTGACAAAAGTGACAACAGTGACAAGAGTGACAATGGTGACAAGGGTGACAACAGTGACAATAGTGACAACAGTGACAAAAGTAACAACGGTGACAACAGTAACAACTGTGACAACGGTGACAACGGTGACACCACTGACAACAGTGAAAACGGTGTCAACAGCGACAACAGCGACGACAGTGACAAGAGTGACAACGGTGACAACAGTGACAACAGTGACAATGGCGACAACAGTGACAACAGTGACAACGGTGACAACAGCAAAAACATTGGCAACGGTTACAACGGTGACAACAGTCACAACGGTGACAACTGTGACAACAGTGATAACATTGACAAGGGTGACAACGGTGACAACGGCGACAAAAGTGACAACGGTGACAAAAGTGAAAACAGTGACAAGAGGTACAAAAGTGACAATGGTGACAAGGGTGACAACACTGAAAACAGTGACAACGGTGACAACAGTGACAACTGTCACAAGAGTGACAACAGTGACAACAGTGACAACAGTGATAACATTGAGAATGGTGACAACGGTAACAACGGTCACAAAAGTGACAAGAGTGACAATGGTGACAAGGGTGACAACAGTGACAACAGTGACAACAGTGACAACAGTGACAAAAGTAACAACGGTGACAACGGTGACAACAGTGACAACTGTCACAACAGTGACAATCGTGAGAACGGTGACAACAGTGACAACAGTGACAACGGTGACAACAGTAAGAACAGTGACAATGGCAACAACAGTGAAAATGGTGACAACGGTGACAACAGTGACAACGGTGAAGACAGTGACAACGGCGACAACAGTGACAACAGTGACAATAGTGAAATCAGCAGAAACATTGACAACAATTACAACGGTCACAACAGTAACAACGGTGACAACAGTGACAACAGCAAAAACAATGAAAACAGTGGCAAATGTGACAACGGTGACAACAGTGACAACAGTAACAACGGTGACAACAGTCAAAACAGTGACAACGGTGACAACAGTTACAACGATAACAACAGTGACAAAGATGACAACAGTAAAAACAGTGACAACAGTAAAAGCAGTGACAACCGTGACAACAGTGACATCGCTAACAACGGTGACAACAGTAACAACTGTGACAACGGTGACACCAGTGACAACAGTGAAAACGGTGTCAACAGCGAGAACAGCGACAACAGTGACAACGGTGACAACAGTGACAACAGTGACAACGGTGACAACAGTGACAACAGTGACAACGGTGACAACAGTGACAACAGTGACAACAGTGAAAACATTGAGAATGGTGACAACGGTAACAATGGTGACAAAAGTGACAACAGTGACAAGAGGTACAAAAGTGACAATGGTGACAAGGGTGACAACAGTGACAACAGTGACAACAGTGATAACATTGAGAATGGTGACAACGGTAACAATGGTGACAAAAGTGACAACAGTGACAAGAGTGACAATGGTGACAAGGGTAACAACAGTGACAAAAGTGACAACAGTGACAACAGTGACAAAAGTAACAACGGTGACAACTGTGACAACTGTCACAACAGTAACAACCGTGAGAACGGTGACAACAGTGACAACAGTGACAACGGTGACAACAGTAAGAACAGTGACAATGGCGACAACAGTGAAAACGGTGACAACGGTGAAAACAGTGACAACGGTGAACACAGTGACAACGGCGACAACAGTGACAACAGTGACAACAGTGACAACAGCAACAACAGTGACAACAATTACAACGGTCACAACAGTAACAACGGTGACAACAGTGACAACAGCAACAACAATGACAACGGTGACAAATCTGACAACGGAGACAACAGTGACAACAGTAACAACGGTGACAACAGTCAAAACAGTGACAACGGTGACAACAGTGACAACGATAACAACAGTGACAACGGTGACAACAATAAAAGCAGTGACAACGGTAAAACCAGTGACAACCGTGACAACAGTGAACATGCTAACAACGGTGACAACAGTAACAACTGTGACAACGGTGACACCAGTGACAACAGTGAAAACGGTGTCAACAGCGAGAACAGCGACAACAGTGACAAGAGTGACAACGGTGACAACAGTGACAACAGTGACAACGGTGACAACAGTGACAACAGTGACAACGGTGACAACAACTGACAACTGTCACAAGAGTGACAACAGTGACAACAGTGACAACTGTGATAACATTGAGAATGGTGACAACGGTGACACAGTGACAAAAGTGAAAAAAAGTGAAAACGGTGACAACAGTGACAACAGTTACAAGAGTGACAAGATTGACAATGGTGACAAGGGTGACAACAATGACAAAAGTGACAACAGTGACAAGAGGTACAAAAGTGACAATGATGACAAGGGTGACAACAGTGACAACAGTGACAACAGTGACAACAGTGACAACAGTGACAACGGTGACAACACTGACAACTGTCACAAGAGTGACAACAGTGACAACAGTGACAACTGTGATAACATTGAGAATGGTGACAACGGTGACACAGTGACAAAAGTGAAAAAAAGTGAAAACGGTGACAACAGTGACAACAGTTACAAGAGTGACAAGATTGACAATGGTGACAAGGGTGACAACAATGACAAAAGTGACAACAGTGACAAGAGGTACAAAAGTGACAATGATGACAAGGGTGACAACAGTGACAACAGTGACAACAGTGACAACAGTGACAACAGTGACAACGGTGACAACAGTGACAACTGTCACAAGAGTGACAACAGTGACAACAGTGACAACTGTGATAACATTGAGAATGGTGACAACGGTGACACAGTGACAAAAGTGAAAAAAAGTGAAAACGGTGACAACAGTGACAACAGTTACAAGAGTGACAAGAGTGACAATGGTGACAAGGGTGACAACAGTGACAACAGTGACAACAGTGAAAACGGTTACAACAGTCATAACAGTGACAACAGTGACAACGGTGACACCAGTGACAACTGTCACAACAGTGACAACAGTGACAAGGTTGAAAAGAGTGACAACAGTGACAATGGTGATAACAGTGAAAATGGTAACAACAGTGACAACGGTGACAACAGTGACAACGGTGACAATGGTGACAATGGTGAGAACGGTGACAACAGTGACAACAGCAACAACAGTGACAACGGTGACAAATGTGACAACGGTTACAACAGTCAAAACGGTGACAACAGTTACAACAGTGACAACAGTGACAACGGTGATAACAGTGACAACAGTCACAACGGTGACAACAGCGACAACAGCAACAACAGTGACAACGGTAAAAACTGGGACAACGGTGACAACAGTGACAATGGTGACAACAGTGACAACGGTGACAACAGCAACAACAGTGACAACGGTTATAACGGTGACAACAGTGAAAACGGTGAAAACAGTGATACCATTGAGAAGGGTGACAACTGTAACAACGGTAACAAAAGTGACAACAGTGACAAGAGTGACAATGGTGACAAGGGTGACAACAGTGACAACAGTGACAACAGTGACAACAGTGACAAAAGTAACAACGGTGACAATGGTGACAACAGTGACAACTGTCACAACAGTGACAACTGTGAGAACAGTGACAACAGTGACAACAGTGACAACGGTGACAACAGTCAAAACAGTAACAACAGTAACAACAGTGACAACAGTGACAACGGTGACAACAGTGCCAACAGTGACAACGGTGACAACAGCGACAACAGCGACAACAGTGACAACGGTAAAAACTGGGATAATGGTGACAAGAGTGGCAATGGTGACAACAGTGACAACGGTGACAACAGCAACAACAGTGACAACGGTTATAACGGTGACAACAGTGATACCATTGAGAAGGGTGACAACTGTAACAACGGTAACAAAAGTGACAACAGTGACAAGAGTGACAATGGTGACAAGGGTGACAACAGTGACAACAGTGACAACAGTGACAACAGTGACAAAAGTAACAACGGTGACAATGGTGACAACAGTGACAACTGTCACAACAGTGACAACTGTGAGAACAGTGACAACAGTGACAACAGTGACAACGGTGACAACAGTCAAAACAGTAACAACAGTAACAACAGTGACAACAGTGACAACGGTGACAACAGTGCCAACAGTGACAACGGTGACAACAGCGACAACAGCGACAACAGTGACAACGGTAAAAACTGGGATAATGGTGACAAGAGTGGCAATGGTGACAACAGTGACAACGGTGACAACAGCAACAACAGTGACAACGGTTATAACGGTGACAACAGTGATACCATTGAGAAGGGTGACAACTGTAACAACGGTAACAAAAGTGACAACAGTGACAAGAGTGACAATGGTGACAAGGGTGACAACAGTGACAATGGTGACAACAGTGACAACAGTGACAACGGCGACACAAGTGATAACGGTGACAACAGTGAGAACAGTGACAAGAGGTACAAAAGTGACAATGGTGACAAGGGTGACAACAGTGACAACAGTGACAACAGTGATAACATTGAGAATGGTGACAACGGTAACAATGGTGACAAAAGTGACAACAGTGACAAGAGTGACAATGGTGACAAGGGTAACAACAGTGACAACAGTGACAACAGTGACAAAAGTAACAACGGTGACAACGGTGACAACTGTGACAACTGTCACAACAGTAACAACTGTGAGAACGGTGACAACAGTGACAACAGTGACAAGGGTGACAACAGTAAGAACAGTGACAATGGCGAAAACAGTGAAAACGGTGACAACGGTGACAACAGTGACAACGGTGAACTCAGTGACAACGGCGACAAAAGTGACAACAGTCACAACAGTGACAACAGCAACAACAGTGACAACAATTACAACGGTCACAACAGTAACAACGGTGACAACAGTGACAACAGCAACAACAATGACAACGGTGACAAATGTGACAACGGAGACAACAGTGACAACAGTAACAACGGTGACAACAGTCAAAACAGTGACAACGGTGACAACAGTGAAAACGATAACAACAGTGACAACGGTGACGACAGTAAAAACAGTGACAACGGTAAGACCAGTGACAACCGTGACAACAGTGAACATGCTAACAACGGTGAGAACAGTAACAACTGTGACAACGGTGACAATGGTGACACCAGTGAAAACAGTGAAACGGCGTCAACAGTGACAACAGCTACAACAGTGACAAGAGTGACAACGGTGACAACAGTGACAACAGTGACAGCGGTGACAACAATGACAACAGTGACAACGGTGACAACAGCAAAAACATTGGCAACGGTTACAACGGTGACAACAGTCACAACGGTGACAACAGTGACAACAGTGATAACATTGACAAGGGTGACAACGGTGACAACGGCGACAAAAGTAACAAAAGTGACAACGGCGACAACAGTGACAACAGTGACAAGAGGTACAAAAGTGACAATGGTGACAAGGGTGACAACAATGACAACAGTGACAACGGTGACAACAGTGACAACGGTGACAACAGTGACAACAGTGATAACATTGAGAATGGTGACAACGGTGACACAGTGACAAAAGTGAAAAAAAGTGACAACGGTGACAACAGTTACAAGAGTGACAAGAGTGACAATGGTGACAAGGGTGACAACAGTGACAACAGTGAAAACGGTGACAAGAGTCATAACAGTGACAACAGTGACAACGGTGACACCAGTGACAACTGTCACAACAGTGAAAACAGTGACAACAGTGAAAAGAGTGACAACAGTGACAATGGTGATAACAGTGAAAACGGTAACAACAGTGACAACGGTGACAACAGTGACAATGGTGATAACGGTGACCAATGTGACAACGGTGACAAGAGTGACAACGGTGACAACAGTGACAATGGTGACAACAGAAACAACAGTGACAACGGTTACAACAATGAAAACGGTGACAACAGTAACAACGGTGACAACGGTGGCAACAGTGACAACGGTGACAACAGTGACAACGGTGACAACAGTGACAACGGTGACAAATGGGACAGCGGTAAACACACTGACAACAGTGACAACAGCAACAACAGTGACAACGGTTATAACGGTAACAACAGTGACAACGGTGACAACAGTGACAACAGCAACAACAGTGACAACGGTTATAACGGTGACAACAGTGACAACAGTGACAACGGTGAGAACAGCAACAACAGTGGCAACAGTTACAACGGTGACAACAGTGACATTAGTGACAACAGTGAAAACATTGAGAAGGGTGACAACGGTGACAACGACGACAAAAGTAACAACACTGACAACGTTGACAACAGTGACAACAGTGACAAGAGGTACAACAGTGACAATGCTGACAAGGGTGACAATAGTGACAACGGTGAAAACAGTAAGAACAGTGACAACGGTGCCAAGAGTGACAACGGCGACAACAGTGACAACTGTCACAACAGTGACAACAGTGACAACAGTGATAAGATTGAGAATGGTGACAACAGTGACACAGTGACAAAGTAAAAAAAAAGTGACAACGGTGACAACAGTGACAACAGTTACAAGTGTGACCAGAATGACAATGGTGACAACAGTGCCAACGTGGACAACAGTGACAACAGCGACAACAGTGACAACGGTGACAAATGTGACAATGGTGACAATGGTGACCACAGTGACAACAGTGACAACAGTGAAAACAGTGACGACAGTGACACCAGAGAGAAGGGTGACAACGGTGACAAATGTGACAACGGTGACAACAGTGACGACGATGACAACGGTGACAACGGTGACACCAGAAACAACAGTGACAACGGTTACAACAGTCAAAACGGTGACAACAGTAACAACAGTGACAACAGTGAGAACGGTGACAACAGTGACAACAGTGAGAACGGCGACAACAGTGACAACTGTCACAAGAGTGACAACAGTGACAACAGTGACAACAGTGATAACATTGAGAATGGTGACAACGGTAACAACGGTGACAAAAGTAACAACAGTGACAAGAGTGACAATAGTGACAAGGGTGACAACAGTGACAACAGTGACAACAGTGACAAAAGTAACAACAGTGACAACGGTGACAACAGTGACAACTGT